ACGGAGCTTTCATGTATGACGTATAAGTATCTGACACCTGACTTTCACACTCACAGCAGAAGGTTGATTCTGCAAGTGCTCAGTACTCTGATTTGTGTTTTAAAACCATATAACATCCTAAATCGTGGTCCATGCCTTTCCTGCTTCACGTTGTATTTCAATACAAGCGAAACAAACTTTCCATGATTATAAGAAATCTCCATTTTACGATTCCAAAGATATCATATGCATGTATTTATGAATCATTATCAAATAGTGATGATATCAGGTCTGAGTCCTTGAACAACCCAGTGACTGTATGCAGAACGCCCTGTCATGACCGAAGGCTCGGGACGCGCCTGTTTCAATCGATATTGAACTTGCTCTAATCGGTGAGAAGACATTCATACTGAATAAGGCTGCGTTGGTAGATCCAGATAGAGTGCGCAGCCCCTCTTCTTACCCTTCCTTTCAAATATATCATAATGTCATCACACTAAATATGCTTGTGGTAGCTTAACCACCACCATGCCTTGGAGTGTTTCTGACTCACTAAAAGCGTTTCGTGAAATATACAAAATATAGATGTTTGCCATAACGATTTTGGAAAAGATATGAGTGATTATAGGAGTCACTTACTCATGTAAGGGTTATATAAGTAATGATTCATACTAATGTGCATTACGTTTTACAAGCCTGACGTCATTTTCATTTCACTGTTCCTGACACACTACAACTAACAGAACAGATGACTCCATATTGGCCTATGGGTATGCCGTTATTGTATTGACAACCCAAATATGTCTACATTTTCTCACCAATATGTCACGGGCATTCAACGTCAGTTTTGGAACCAGTCTCGGGGGTCGATCCATTATGACACAACGTTGACTAAATGATGTGCAAATAAACATTCGTCACTACTCCCCCTTTCCGTAACCTGCAAGAAGACTCGTTCCCCGATCGATTAAAAGTTATGTGCGAAAATACGACAAACCAATCAAGTTTTTCGTCAAAGAATCCCCCAGAAATAAGTTTTGATTTTACATATGTCTTGCATCTAAAATTTACCCAAGACACACTTAAATGTTTTCAGTCATACTGTATAATTCCGCATGCTCCGGTGTGCTTTAAATTGCATCAGATATATATATATCATATTTTGGGAAATATATGTGAACCATTACGCAACGAGTCGACAATTGTTTTAGGTGTGCTCATTTGCGTTAAGACGGAACCCGGTCGCAAAATGGCCATGAGAGGGGCACGAGTCGCTATTCGGCTTGTCCCGGAATATCACGAGTTGGTCAAGAATGGCATATATAGTGACGTAATAATGGTTACACACCAACAGCCAATTCGAAATAAGGTGAAAGGTCATGTCAACGGTCATAGTAATATATAAGAGATATCAAAACTTGCTTTCAAACATTCAGCAGCCTGTAGTTTACCAGGCAAAAAAAGACGAATTGATGAATCTACCTTGTGTACAATTGTGTTCACTTTTGAATAACCGACGCAATTTCAAGTTCACAAGAAGATACTGAACCGTATGTGCATGAAATATATATACATCAGTTTTGCAAAAATCGAATATTCTGTTTCGGAATTCTATTTGTGCTTCTGATTTATGGACAGTTGAGAACAAACGAGGCGACATATGCGCATTTTATCGATATTTGCCTATTCAAGACATATTTCTTATTTTGAAAAAGAAAGAAAGTCGTTCGATTAAAACAAGATCAACAGAAGCTTTTGTTACCAGAATATTTTACTGCTATGGCCGCAGGTGAATTGAGTGCTTTGAGATTAAAGGGTTTCATGTCGCCATCCACCACTGTCACAAAGCCAGATGCTGTGACTTTCATGTATTTTCAATACGACAGAGAAAAAGTCACGTACTCAAACATTCACTCCAACACAACTGAACAGTGTAGTAATAGACACCTCTAAATCTACCATTTATTTATGTCAATTTTTCTAGGTCCCACATTTTGCCCAAGGATATTGGGTCCTTTTTTGTGTGGTTTGTGGCAACACGTTTACTTTGCAATACAGTAAAACGAAGAGTTGTTTTTGCTGCAGAAGTGAGTCCCTTGTAGAGTTATGCCCCTTGTTGTAATTGTGTACGCTTTCAGATGAGCACGACATTCGAATGTACCTTTCCTAAATACAGGTCATGTCAGAATAACCTTTCGCGAACTATCACTGACCAATGAAATAACTAACAGGAAGTCAACATTGGCCACTAAGAAATCAGCTTTCTTAAGCTTTGCGATACCAGTTTCAAACTGCCGACTTCTAATTTAGACTATGCTTTTTAAAGTATTTTGAATAAGTCATACAGTCCGTAACAGTTGTTGTGTGTTAAGCTTTAGAGGTTGCATGATTAGAAAACATATTCCGCGAACAATGTAACATAACAATATGAATATTTCATTTTTGCACTACGGGTTTGTATCGTTATCTTTTATGTAGTTGTCCGATTTTCGATCACGAACGTTGATACTACTTAATTTTGTTTATCCGACATTCTCGTTAATCCTACATGATCATGTGCAACCAACCATGTCGGATTAACGGGACTTGTCTGTATGTAGAGACGCATTACATACATATTACATATTATTATTAATATGAATAATGAGTACTTAAAACGGCGTTGTCGTATAATAACTTCAAGAAACAGTATACATTAGATGTCTGTTTTCATACCACTGTGAAATAGAGTGCCATGTTTCAAAATATTTAAAATTAAAATCCCTCATTAATGAAAAGCTGTTGAAGATTATTCCAGTACTGCGAAACGAAAGGATTTTCGCCCAACGGTCAAGGGTGCGCCATGTTGAGACAGTGTTTGGCATCAAGTGACCGCCAAATGTTGGCCCCTTGTCTCCCATTATGTATTTTCTTTCAAAAAAAAAGAGGACGAAATGAGGGCCATTTTTAGCTGTTGGATATCACTGAAACAACAGCAACGCCATTGAGTGAGTAAGTTTGGTTCAACACATATATGAACAATATCACGGCATGCGAGCTTGATGATATTTTTTTTAAAAAGCTCGCAGTAATGAAGATCCAATTCAGACGTTTACCACATTGATGAAACCGACGAACATTAGTATGGTGCTGACAAAACTGGAAACATTATCTTCGATTCATGGATAAGGTGTATGTCAAGCTTGAGGTACGAAACTCTACACGCCAAACTGTGGTACCTTAGACGACTGGGCCACCCGTGCCCACCGTTCGTCATGGGACCAGAAGTAGTTTACGATTCAAACTATACACATTCAAAGGCAGGTCAATTCTTCACCTGAAAAACACGGGAACTCTTGAGGTACAATCGAGCATGCTCTTTCCATGAAAATGTAAAAGAGCGTGACACGACATACAACACATGCTTAAGGGTTGTTTGATCAGATAACAGGATTCATGGCCTCAGTAAAGCTTTCACAAATGTTATGGTACACATGCGGAGGACATTTTTGACGCATCATTGATGTCAGAAACAGATCCTTATTTTGACTTTATACATGTGTTCCCGTGTTTGTTCAGGTTAACACATGACTTGCATTTGCATGTCCTAGTGACGGGTACGAACCGTGGGATAGCATAACACATGTTCGTGAACACCTGTCATCACCACTACTTGATAGTCATTTAACGCCATAACAAGAACTACATTAAGCCCCTGATATGTATGCGTCCCATGCAAGGAGTGGCTACACCATATAGGAGTACCCAAGCATCTCTATAACGACCAGAGGCCCAGAGCATGTCCTCAGGCTGTTCGTAGTTGTCCTAATCTCAACACAATATACATCCAATTGGCAGTAATATAAAGAACGCTACCCTAGCAAACAAAATGAATCTAGTTGTAGCGTTTTAAGATATTCCTGTCACACACATAATGCTTTGTGTGATACGTTTACCTTGTTTTTCTTACAAATGACTACATAAAGATTACCTTCACCAAATTGCATAATGACGTAGCATTATGATTTCTTATGAATATGGAAAGGGTTTTGTCGCTTTTATTCCTACATGTAATGATATGTTTCCTTCATGATCCTCTTCATGAATCTGTCTCTCTTTTCAAAAGAAAACTTATTATATATTTGTATGTTTACAACCTAATAAGTATAAAATGGACCCCTTTATGGCTTTTCCCCCAACTGTTTCCTGTGTGACAAATCAGTGAATCATTCAGCGCAATTATACAACACAGCGACGAACGTAGTGTGCTGGTGGGCTCAGACGAATTTGTTTAGGTTTATGGAAAAAGATTGCTTGGTTAGCCAATAAAATGTCATGGAATCACTTGCAATTTATGTTTTATGTCATGGTCCTCGGCGTGTCTCCGACCCACGAGGCTGTGTATTAATCCTCTGTCTCACAGTGAGGAAATATATGCACATGTATACTTTGATGTGATCATTCCGTGAGCAGTGAACAAGAGCAACGCAAGATAGCTCGTATGCCCACGTCCAGGTTCATAGATAAATCATAACTTAGAGTAAACTACATGTAAACGTTTCTTTAACTCACGAAGGATGTTTATGTCAGATACCGACTGATGATAATCTTCTTCTTCTTCTTCTACTACTACTACTACTACTACTACTACTACTACTACTACTACTACTACTACTTCTACTACTACTACTATGTCCAATAATACATGTGACATACTGATGGTGCTACATGATTATTACTCCGGTCTGCTGATCAGTGTGTACTCAAATTGCATTCTCAGCCCCCTGGGGAGAATACATATTATATTTTGACAGCTAAGTCGACGTCAGGCCACCATGTGTTACTCTTCTCCGCAGTACTGAAATGTTATCTAAATATACAATTGTGTTGCTTCACTTGAAATGTATAGCCATAACCTCGAACTTCTCATTTAAGTCGACATATTTTCGATGGTCCCCGCTACGTTGATTTAGCCAGGTGTTATGTTTATACGTACAAGTACGTGCATGCATAATGACATGAAATAGAACTCGATAACATACCTGTTCTAGCCACACGTTGATTGTAAGCACCTGGTTGACTTCATCCTGAAAAAAGATAACCAATATTTGTAAAAAAGATTTAGTTGCTTTTCAATGATGAAACAATAGAACGAATCAAAATTTCTAACATAGAATCCGAACAGATCAATGTGAGGACAAGTTTTATGTTTCGAAGACTTAGTAAATTTGAGTATCGTATATATAACATGTACAAATTATAAGCTGATTAAACGTTCTGCGTGTAACATGTAAACAACATATAAACAAGAAATACCCACAGACAGTAAATTCTGTAACAATTAAAGTCTGTGGCGTCTGAAATTTGGTGGATTTAACTGAACTGAGCTGTTAACAATATATGAATGAACATGCAGTCAGATTAAACATCGGAAATATCGACGATAACCTACGATATTTATGTTTGAGTCGACAGGGTATCATTGAAATGTAAAAGAAATTACATTTTATAATATATAACACGCTGAGGGTCATGAGATGGGGCACGGGTGGTCCACAATTCGCTTTGCAGTGTTCTCATGTGCACGCCAGAACCCTAAAATTGTGGGTTCAAATCCCGGTTCGCTTCGATTAATTTTGTCTTTGTCTTTCAGCACCATATCCTTGCTCATTGGTTTCACCAAAGTGGTAAACATCTGAGACATGCATCATTTCGGACTTCCCTAACACACCAAGCTTACACTCCGTTACATAACTGAAATACTGTTCAAAGCGGCGGTAGACCCAGCTCACTCATTCACAACGACCTGTTTCCTGTTCATCTTATGGATCTCCCAACTTTCACATGCAGTATGGCAACAGTGAATCCCTTTCACGAAACTTGCTGGTGTAATGACAACCTCTTCGGTATCGATATCGGGTGACATCGATACTGCCTTACGCGATATTCCATGGTCAATCCGTCGAATGCCTCTAACTCGAAGATGTAACTTTATGGACATCACAGAAACTATGATCCAGTATTTTGATTCCGCTGGTTTCGAAAAACGGATAACTCGATTTATGCTGACGGGCAAAATAAAGTGTACACTTGAAAATTAGATTAGAAAACATTACAAACGTTATCGAAACGTTACTAGGTTGAAAAGAGACTGCATAGCTACTGAATAATGTCAATAACACCTCAAATATGTACTTATTATTCGTTTTTATCCTAAGTAAAGAGAAGACTGAGGCATTCATCATTTATCATAGTATTATCAGAGCTACATTCCGTACCTTCAACACAACTTCGCGAGCAATCCACCGAATCTCTATGTAAACTGTAGGAAAAGCGGTTCAACGTCATGTCTTATAAACCTTGACATATGCATTGTGCATGGAAGAGATTCTTTTTCCTCAACAGTACAATTTTTTTATATCACAATGACGTTTTTAACTATTGCAAGAGTTAACTGACCCGACGCCATTGTACATTCAAAAAAGGCCCCTAGACGTTAAATAAATATTCATGAAAACTTCAAATTAATACACTAAAGAGGACACTCCTGGTCAGTCAGATTAGTACAGTGCGTTCCCTTGTAATTGAGAGTATGTCAGCAATCAATACGACCAATTCCTCAGTTATTTACATGTTTGTACTTGTGGCCCTTGCTACAAGTCTTTATCCGAGTCAATCTGTCACCAACGTGATGCTTGCATTGCATCAATATTTTACAATACATGCATTACTATAATAACGTACAGTCGGTGTTACAGTTGATAAACATACACATTTACTTACAGAACAGTGTATGTTTAATTCTTCAGAAACGACTAGTAACCACTCCAAGGTGTTGATTAGAGGAAACAAGTACACGCAATTTCAATTTGTAAATAACGATGGTGCAGATGAATAAGATTAATAGTTTGAAAGTTTTTACTTGGGATAATGTTCGCCTACTTCGGAGCATCTGTAGAAAGCCAAATTGCCAATGGTTTCTCCCTGGTAAGCACGCTACATTGAATCGGGCGGCAATACGATCGGCGCAATTGCAACTTCCCACAGAACAGCCCGGGGAGAGCCAATAGCCGAGAACACAAACAACCACCACACTAATTCTAGATCTCGACAAAAACGTAATTGGAAATCTTGTTTGAATTTGGAAATGTCAATTCTTTCACCAAGCACTAATCCAGCCAAATATATTTGTGTTGGTAGCATTCTTCCCTGAAGTGTCGTTACGGGAACAAGTGACGGTAATGTTTGGAAAATACATAAACATCTACACCAATAACTCTGCAAATCAATAGCTGGTATGCCAATTTCTTAAACAAAGATTGCAACCGCTAATTAATAAATCATAAATACAGTGACATCAGCAAGAATTATTGATAAATTCTGCAAAAGTTTAACGTAAACTTGCCAAAGGCTATGGACACTGTGCTTGGAATAAATCACATACCATTTACTCAAACATCTCAAGCATGCAATTCAGGTGGACAAGTGGTGTAAGATATGTTTGCATATGCCATTCCATGACTGTCGCGCTGTTGATTTAAGATGATCCCAAATCGGTCGATTTACTATGTCTACATCAGGCGAAAGGAACTGTTTAACTTGACACGATATTTTGTTCCCGAAAGATAAATCCCAGCGGTATTCAAATTCAGGGAAGGTCGAAAACCGCGTAATGTTTATGTAAGAATTGAAGAGATGAAGATCTGGGTGCCGTTGTACAAAGCGATCTTAGCGCTAAGGTGACCGTAACTCCTATACCTTAACATAGACTTACGACAGTCGTAGTGCTAAGGTTGTCTTGTACAACGGCACCCTAGTTGCCACACTGTGTGGCACGAAGGAGTATGTTTTGTTTTGTTTGTTTGTTGGTTTACGCAACACTCATCAATATTCCAGCTCTATGATGGCGGTCTGTAAATAATCGAGTTTGGACCCGATCCAGTGATTGACATTATGACCATAGATCCACGCAATTGGGATACGATGACATGCATCAACCAAGTCACCGAGCTTGTCCACCCGATCCCGTTAGTCTCCTCTTACGACAAGCAAAGTTGCTGAAGACTTATTCTACCACGGATCTTCACGTGTGATCATGGAGTCATGAAGTCATCTCATGCTACCAACCATTAGCTTGCCTATCACTGGTCGCCGCTACCGAGGTGCGACAATGCGAGAGAACAACATTCATTCACTCGCTATGTTATCTGCGTTCTCAGAGAGAGTAAGGAGCTGCACTTAATATATTATTAATGGACACCTGATATATTATTAGTGGAATCATCAAACAGTTTTGGATTGTGTGACTTTGTTATTTGCTTAGCATTTACAGGTTACTTCATCGAACCGTACCTTCACAATGTTACCAGCAGAGCCAACACAACAAAACACAACGACAAACCCCTTTCCATGATCATAAGAAATCTACTTTCACTGAAAAGGCCCTGTGGTGTATTCTGATAATTTTGAATACACAGCAGGTAAATTGATTTAACCTGAGGGAAACAAGTACCTTTGTATATTAGATTAAGACTTCAAACAAGCCAGAATACATAATCAAAATTTTAAAATTATGCATAATAAGAAATGTGCAAGGTAAGGAAAAATGAACGATGTAACTGCCGAGAGAACAAGTGAAAAAGTCCAGAACCTCGACGACCAGCTGTGTTTGAATACTCAGGTAAAAATAAAACTCATGATCAGATAAAATGCTCGCCTCATAACAATCAACAGTAATAACTCAATCAGGCCTTATCACAGAAGGCAATTCCAGCACAATGCTGTTCTTTCGCCTATATGAGTACATGTATTGAACAAGTGTGATCCAATAAGCAATGTTAACCAAGTCTTTCCTATGAAGTTCTAAATAAACAGGGAATTGTACTCTGGTCACATAGTCATATTTACACAAAGAATATCATACTTCATTGATTAGCCAACTTCACTCTCCACACCATCGGTTGGGTTTCTGGTAATAGTCGGCCAGAGATTACTCTGTTATGAGGCATACAGAATCAATCATTGGAATAGAATGCACAGATTCAAAGTGACAGAGTAATATAGAAATCATGTGAGAATAACAGGAAATATAGCTGCTATAACAATGGTCCAATTACAGGTCCATTCTCACAGCGGACTCTGATCTAGTGCTAGGGAAATACTTTCATCATTGTTATGTATCTTAGCACCGCTTGCTCCAAGGGACAGGCTGCATTTGCCTCCCAACTATCCTCGGGCTTTTAACTATGTTCGTGTCGCGAAAATGTAGCTCTTCACATTATTCATGTCTGTAGTACTTTAATACTGTTGTAACAAAAAAATGTTTCTTGCTATATTCCTTCTAACCGATTATAACATGTTATCTATATTATCATATATATATTTACATATCTTTCTTAATAATGTATTCTCCAAGCTTATTGATTTCAATGGAGCACATTTTTCTTTTTTCTTTGTTTGGTACGATGCTTATCCTGCGTTACCGCAGTAACCTAGGAAGTTGTATTCTTTATGTACAGTCTTGCATGGTTTTCATGATCACAGTCTGAAAACTTGTGTCACTGAGTGTAGTTCCGGTGAAGACTGTTCCTCGTTCTGTCATCAACAACTACAAAACACAAGATGGAAGTTGTTACAAGTGCTCCAACAGCTCCGGCCTTTTTACGAAGATTTCAAAGAGCATCATGTATACGACTCTTGCTCATGTTTGATCATGGTTACGACATTCAAGGCGTTAATAAATCTTTGAAAACGTTTTATCCTAGACATGTGGAAAACATTTTCAAATTTGATGCATCAGTGACCAAAATAATGTCCGTTGCAGTTCCCTATTTTGACTTGTACCATATGTTCCCGTGCTGTTGAAGGAGAAAATGGACTTGCCTTGGCATGTGTTTGTGACACGTGACACCTGTGGGGTGCGGACGGGCTCATCCTTTCGCGAACACCTTGTATCATCAATATTTGACAGTAATTCTTAAACACATGTTTATGATGTCGTCGGAATCGTAAATGGACTCTAGTTATCGCGCATATGTCTTATGATTATGGTAGGGGTTGCGTCGCTTTTAATTTACAGTTCCACGTC